TCTGAACAGCGATGGGAACGATTGCGTAAGTCTTGAGTTTTTATAATTAATTGAAAACAATATAACAGTAATACTGTAATACTGTTTATTAGAGTAAATGGCTTCAGAGCTGTGAATGTTGTGAATGTTGTGAATGAGTCCATTATTTTCTTTTTTAATTTAAAGCCTCTATTGTTTTGCTTTCATTGAAAAGTACTCAATGTTTTCGACATTAATTAAAAGTGAAAGAATACAAAGTGACCAAAATATGTCAAACTATACTACTATTCAGTTATACCATAGTACTGTACAGTATCATAGTTAACTGTTATAGTAAATTGCATTGACTTTATAATCCCAACTCAATGCTTCACTGAAACTAACCAGATCACAGTTATTAATATTTTCCTACAAATTTTTTTTCCAATATTAACAATTTGTAATTAATAAAGATTTTATCTCTTAATAATTTCATGTTTTTAAACTGTTATCTGTTATACAGAAAATACAAATAAAAAGAAAACTTGATTATCAATTATAATATAATAGTGTCTTAAAAAACAGAAGTTTTTTCTTATTAAACAAGTGGATTAAAAATACAACATTTATTTAACACTTTTCATGTGATTGAATTGATATGATATGTCGGTCATTGACATATGATATCGTGTCTCATATGTCTTAAAAAACAGAAGTTTTTTCTTATTAAACAAGTGGATTAAAAATACAACATTTATTTAACACTTTTCATGTGATTGAATTGATATGATATGTCGGTCATTGACATATGATATCGTGTCTCATAAATGGACGCCTCAATAGATTTTAATCAAAGAAAAGTTCACTAATTTTTATAAAATGGTTTCATTGCATTAAAAGTTGCAAATCATGCGGACATTGCGATCAATGCCAAGAATTTGTTATAAATAAATACTAGTATTCAGTATTCAATGACTGATTGTTGGTTTGTTCTCCTTTTCTCAGTCACTTTGCTATACGATGTGAATGTTTATTGCATTTAATTATTTGTATTTTTTAATGAATTACTTTATAAATTAGCCGATCGATTGCATTGAATGTATTCACAAAAAAATTTAATGATAGTCTGACATAGAATTAAGTATTCCCTAAAGATATTGCAAACATATTATTTATAAAAATATCATTTTATTTAATATAAAATTTTAGCGCCACAGACATTTGTCCTGTAATTTTGTTTTTGTTAACAATCTCGTTTATTTGCAATAATTACACTATTAACTCTGTAATATTATTTTAACTATTATATTATTTAAAAATTAAAACGTTGAAACAAAAACTAAATTTAAATGTATATTATATTAAAATGTGCCAATACTGTGCTATTGATATAAGATCTAATATGTTTGTAATTTTACACAACACTATAGTGACTAGAGTATAAAATATTATCGCTGTCAGTCTAATATTCATAACATTTTTTGAACTAAAAAGTGAGTTTGTTAATTATACAGTACTGTCCACAACTTTCATTCAGACAATTGTTTAAAATTTGTAGATTACTTTACAAATTAAATAAGCATTATATCATAATATATTATATTATGCTCTATATTAAAATGATATCCATTATAAAACTCAAGATTTACATGAATAACAGTTTATAAAACAATTTTATAACAATGTCTAATTTATAATATGAGTCATTTTAATTAGCAGAATATCTCCATTTTCTAACATTTTATAAACTTGATATTATATATGAAGTAAATGTATATCCGGATATTAAACACTTTTTAAGCTACAAAGTGTCTATTTTAAAATTAACTAATAATTTTTAATGTGATAGATATCGAAGTATTGTACAGTATTATACAATAGTATAATAAAATAGTTGACAATAGAAGGAAATTTGATTTATGTATTTAATCTTATGTACAATATCTAATGTTTGCATACAATTTAAAAATCTAGCACTAAGGCATTTACTAAGATTTAAAAACATAGTATTTAAGAATAAATATGAAAGTGGTCAATAGTAATTTAAGATGTTGAATATAGTATTTCAAACTTAATTTTATTAATTAAAAATTCATAGAAACCGAAATTAAAGCTCATTATTATTATTATTATTTATTATTATTATTGTTTTGTAAAGAGATATGAATACTTTAATTTAAATAAGCTTAGTGTAATATTTAACCTTTATTTTTTATTATAACTGAATATTATATTTACTTAATTGAAGTTTAAATTAAGAAATGGTCAGACATAGGGAAACGGGTTTTTCTTTTGTGGTAAATGTAATAAATGCAGTGATCCCTGACCTATATCTATAACAATTAGTATAATATTAGTAACTAAAATACTGTAATAATTGAGTATTATTAAGAATCCTTTTACTGTAAATGAATACTACTAAAATTAAATAAAATTGTTTATATTATTTTTTTTATTAATATTTGATTATATCTAAATTCATATTTGATCATAAAAGTGGAAATTAAAAAATGTTATTCAAGTTTTAGCATGCATGTAATGTTTTGATATTATAAATATTCAAAAATATTTATATTTGAATTTTTATAAACATTAATTTACAAATAATATATCTTATATAAAAACATAAACATATTTCTAAACCATTTTATGAGCATAAAATTTAACTATAATAAAAATGGTCAATTTCTGAAGCTATTTACTTGAATATTAAAAGATTAAAATATTGATTGATTAATATGATGATATTAATGATAATTGTTTTGTGATTTGTGTGCAGATATGGCGCGATCGGTGGTTGCCTTATATATCGTCGCCTTCTTCTTCCTATTCCTTTCATTCTTCACTGGAATCGCTGGTAAACATACTTTTAGCTAAACTTTTCTATTTATATAATTTAAGGTTAATTTGTTTTAAAATATACAGAACTTTACAAATAATAAATATTTGTATTCACCTCTAATACAGTTGTGAAAAGCGTCCGACTATTAAGAGATTTAGTTGACCTTAAAATTATTATAATGAGTTTAAGGCATAATTTCTTTTCTATTATTGTATTATTTAAAGTATTTTATGTTTTCTTAAGAATTCTCTCATTTTGTTGACTAAAGAAAAACTTTGAAAACATTGACTAAATTAATGGTTTAATAGGTTGTTGGAAGAGATCGCACGCAAACCTCGTCTCCACCGGATTATTGCAACTCTTAAGCTGTAAGCCATCAAAAACTAATCATTTTCGGTAGTTTTATTTCAATATGTATTTTACATTTATTTATTATAGCGCTGATGGATGCCGGTGCTATGGGTCTGTGGCACGCCGTCCAGTTCTACGATCACCATAAGCTCAAAGACCAATATTCCTACGCCCAGTGGCCTGACGTGAGATAATCTGAATATGAAGTATTAAAGTATTTAGTAACTCATGAATGTATTATCAAATGAACAGATACTGAAACAGGCGGGAGTGACCGAGTTTTACTACGGGTGGTCCTACATCTTGGCGTGGATTGGTATCGGCCAGTGTCTCATCGCTTCCATTATGTTCTTATCGGCCGCTCGTTGTATAAGAAGTGAAAAACGTATCGAACAGACGAAGAATATGCAGTATTTAATGCCTGTCTATCCGGATAAGAGAAACCCTTACGGAGTGAACTACGCGTACGCCTATCCCGGACCCTACCATTACCACGGCTCCCAGTATGGGATCGGACCGTATGGTTATTAAACAATAATAACCTTTTCTTGAGTGCCTTTACTTCATATCGTAATTAGTTTAAATCATTGCAATTGTTAGCCATTATATGCATTATATACTCAATTAATTGTAAAGTAAGTGTTTTCATCACTCGATTGTATCTTATCATCACTTCATTACATACTTTCATTAATTAATTAATAATTTCATGCAATCTGTTGTCATTATAATTGTGATTATGTTCTCAGCTGTAAATTCTTATATCATTTCTATTTATAAAATGAGGTGTTTTTAGTAATTTTACCAATTAATCAGATCTGTTGTATGAAAGGTTTGAATGAATTTATTGTTTGTAATTCGCTTTGGTTTTAGGATTAAGTGATTTTAAAAGTTATATTTTATTCTTTTATACGATTTTCAAACCAATTCCATCACTAATATACTTATAATGTATTTTTAATTTTTTATAATTACATCATAATATGAATATTATTTAAATTTCATTACAATTACAAATCAATAAAGTTTTTAACAAATTTTAAATTATTACTGTATGCATTTTATTAAATAAAAACAAATAATAATTGTTAAACAAGTTTTATTTTATTTGAATTTCAATTAAACACTTGATATAACATATTTTGATCAGTATATCGTAATTGACATCAGAGTTAACGTTTTAAATCAGAGAATTTGTTGGAAGTTTGTCACAAATTCACTAAAATTAGAGGTTTATAAAGAAAAGTTGTTGGCATTGAAAGCAAAATCAGTGATTTGTAAGAAGTTATCTTTATTCGTATACTAATATATTTATTATCTATTTTTAATAAACATTTCTTTATTTCATTTTTATCTCATTTTTATCTCATTTTTAGCCAAAATACCACCAAATTTCTTGATCGACAAGAGAATACCATAACATAAGATAGTTCAGTGACAACTATCATCTAAGTCCCTAATACTCAAATTATATTAACATTAAATGTCTTCAAAACGAATAGTTGTGGATCTCTTCTATGACATCATATCTCCATATTCTTGGATCAGTTTTGAAGTGCTTTGTCGCTATAGACCTGAATGGCAGTCAATGTCTCTCCGATTGAAACCCTTCTTATTGGGAGGGGTTTTCAAACAGAGCGGAAATACAGCGCCCATTGAGGTGCCCAACAAAATGCGGTATATGCCCACTGATATTCAAAGACTCAGCCAGTTATATGGCGTTCCCATCGATGTTCCCATGGATTTCCCAGAAGTTGTTCTTAAAAAATCACTAAAAGCTCAACGGTTTATAACAGCTATTGATTTGTTAACAAAAGGCAAGTCTACTGAAGACATATCGAGACAACTGTGGAGACGAGTGTTTGTGAGCCATCAAGACGTGACACTTCCCGACAGCCTTCGAGAAGCAGCCAAATGTTGTCCAATAAGTGAAGACATTGTCGAGAAAGCAATTGTTTCTTTGGATCAAAACCAAATAAAAGACAAACTCCGAAAGAATACAGAAGAGGCCCTGTCTTACGGAGCATTTGGTGCCCCAACTCATGTCCTTCATCTGCCAAATGGACCACAAATGGTGTTCGGAAGCGACAGAATTGATATCATTGGCGCACTTTTGGGCGAGAAATATATGGGACCTCTGCTTAAGAAACGTTTAAATAATTAAATCACAATTAAATTAATGTTCAATATTAATAAATCATTTTGTTCGGAAGCGACAGAATTGATATCATTGGCGCACTTTTGGGCGAGAAATATATGGGACCTCTGCTTAAGAAACGTTTAAATAATTAAATCACAATTAAATTAATGTTCAATATTAATAAATCATTTATGAGATTCTGGGTTCTCATTTTTGTTGATTTACAGTAATAATTGAATTTAATATTGATCAAATTGAATGAATTTACAATTCTTTCAATTAATCACTATAATTATAAATGAAGTCAATTGTAAAAAAGACTAGTTTTCAAAGATAATATTATCTGGTCTTTAAGATAATTGTATAATTAATTATTAAAAGTATTTTAGGATTGATTGGATAGACACCCCACTAGTCATTAATGATACAACTGACGGAAAATAGCAAGATCAAAAACTAAATAGTGATAAATATTCTGATTAATACTTACAGTTAGAATATATATTTTGAAATATGCTGACTACTAAATTACTGAGCATATTTTCTTAAATTATTATTTCACAAGCTTTAAAATTTTGTGTAAATTTAATATTTGTCAGCAATCTGTCAAATAATAAAAGAACAATCGTATTATGTATAAGAGTCTTATAATAAGACTATGATTTCATATTTGCATTGTGGTTAAATTAACAATAATTGTTTCAATAAAGTGTAAGTTTTAAACCTCTTCTTGTGAACAGAATGAGTAAATATATTGAATTATAGCCATATTTTCAAATATTTGCTATTAATCACTATAAAATACTTAAAATTGTAATTTTTAATTTGCATTAATTTCATAAATTATTCAATTTATACTTATAAAGAGACAGAATTTAAAACTTATATTAAGTAATTGGAAATTTTAGCTAAAGTATCATTGTTACCATTTAATTTACAGTTAATTTACATTTTAAATGAATGTTACAATTTGATCATAAATTAAAATATTGTTTTTAATTTTAACTTATGAATCAAAAGTTATAACTAGGAATGGAAAAAAAGTGGAAATAAAAGTGGGTATTATAAAGACGGCTACTTGTATCAATGTGATTAATACAAAACTTATTCACTATTTTAATCTCCTTTGATTTTAAAAAATATTAATCCTTTATAATAATTTTAGATGAGTATTCTATTGATAAAACACTCAAACCTTTATTAATCGATGAAAAAATATATAATGAATAATAAAATTTCCTGAGTAATCAACAAATTTAAAGAAAATTGTAATAAATAGTCATACAATTTTATCAAATAAGTATTTATATACACAATTAATCATATAAAATTATTATAATGTATTAATATTTCTGAGAATTAAAAATTGATTAAAATAGTGAATAAGTTTTGTATTAATCACATTGATACAAGTAGCCGTCTTTATAATACCCACTTTTATTTCCACTTTTTTCCATTCCTAATTATAACTTATGTTATTAAATAGAAAATATTTATTATAGTAAACATAATTATAGTTTAAGGTATATGTAATCAGTTAATGATATTTATTTATCAGCATAAATTTCATTTAATTTTTATATTATCGACTTAATGTTTAGTTTTATTTATAATAAATATAATTATATAATACATTAACTAATATTGACGACTGGTCACCTAAAAACACTACATTCAAATGCACAGCTGCATGGGGTAAGGATGCCCGAGGGGCCAACAGCTCTGCCTTTCGTTCACTCCATATGTCGACGACTCTCCGGTGTGGGAGCCCACAGCCTACCAGCCACTCAATCTGAGTGCTCGGCCAGTGCCTCCATTTATGGGGTGCGCACGGCCTAAGAGCCACTCCATGCTATCGGTCTCTCCGTTGGCGATCCCACTCCAAATGGCTAACACCACCAACTGATCCATTTCTCGAGTTAGCGATATCTGCACACCTTTCCTATACCGGGGCTGACGAGCCGGACCTCCTTTCCCAAGGGAGGCCTCCCGTCAGCCCGGCTACCGTTTCCCTTAAACTAGTGGTCGGTCTTAGCGGACGACTTACCGCAAAGGTCCGGCCAAAAACAAATTCAATGCAAAAACTTTAGACTTAAAAATAACTTTATTTAAGTGACAAATTAATTAATTTTACATAGAATTGTGTGCAGTATTTATGCAAAAAATACTGCATTAGTTAACAAATATACTTCCGTTCATTTAATTTAAAAACCCTTATTATACAATTTGGTTCACTATTAATCAGATAAAACAAATAGAAAATCCCTTATTTTACAATTTAGTTAACTGCAAAAATTCATTATCATTTGATCATTATCATATTATTATCATTTGATCGCCCAGGTCTTAAAAACGGGTTTATCTGGCTATTATGGGAAAACTGATTTATTAGCCATGATGAAAGGATTTAGTTATATTATTTGGTTATGTATATTATTGGTAATAATTATGCTTAGTTCTTTAATCTACATAAAAGCAAATATTAATCTGAATTACCATGGCAAAATGTATGTAATCTCTCATGCAGTTTGAAAAGTAATAGCACCCTTGATGAATCAAAATCTAAATAGAAAGTTGGATTTATTGTTTACATTATGGAGTCTATTATGTCTGATATTATCTTACAGTTTCAGTAGCAACATACTTTATTCGATATTTAATCACCAGTTTTTAGTTGTAAACACCATGCAACAATTAATTGACTCTAACATGAAAGTGGTCATCCCACATGATTCATGGATTACCGCTGAAATAGCTAAGAAAACTGACATAGATCCATTTATTAAAAAGTTGAATGATAAAGGTCGCATTGGTTTTGGCGATGCTGCTGCTAACGATGTTTGTATATGTTAAATTGATAAAGTACCCCGATTGAAAGTACTAAATATTCTTGAACAATTTTAGGCTATTAAAAATGATATATCAAAAAGGAAAGTAGCATTTTTATGTGATGGCTATAATATACGCAAGGTGAAATACGAGAACCTTATTTATAATTTCCAAATAGCAAAGG